CTCCCACGTAGGAATGGAGGGATCAATGTACTAATGTCTCAATACAGTTTCATATGTGTACAAAACTGGCTCTGCTTTGCCATGGTTGTGGGAGGATTCCTTAGGAAAAGTCCTGTTAAAATTGTACCCAGTTAAAAAACAAAACAAAATATAGGATATGGTCCACCTCCCTAGGAGTGGGCGCCCAGAAAAGGGGCTCATGGAACAATCTTAGAATCCAGATAGTTTTTATATGGGAGGAGACGTCCGTTGAATTATTAAAGTCCTGAGCCACATAAAGTTTCTGGATTAAAACCAACACTTTGAATTGGTCCTGGAAACCTACAGGCCAGAATTGGTCAGTCCATCAGAGGACTTTATTCTTGCAAATTTCAGCGGCACCCTGCGCAAGGCCAAAATTTGGTGCTCACATTTCTCACGGTTGTGATGCCCTGCACCCAGTGCAACAGAACTGGTCGTGCTGCCCTGAATTTGTCCCTGGTTAGACCACCTTGTCCAAGTCAACAATTTCTCTAATTCTACACCAACTGCAGTTTCCAAACAGTCTTCAAAGGCAGCCCCACATATAAAGCACTGTAGTAATCTAACCCAGAGGTTAGCAGAGCCTAGATAACTGAAGCCAACCTATCTCCATCCAGATAGGGTTGCAGCCATGGGCGTAGCCAAGGTGGGGCAGTGGGCAGCTGTCCCCCCTCAAACAAGTAAATAAATAAAAATACTTAACTATCTGACCCAATATAAATCCTGGTCCCCCAACATAAATCCTGGCTATGCCCTTGGTCACAGCTGGGCCACCAACCCAAGCTGATAGGAAGTTGATGGTGAAAGATCTGTGACTTCCTAGAGTGGGGAGTGCATCTGTTGAGGCCACACAGAACCCATTTGGGTCTGGATTCTCTACCTCTCAACCAAGGGGTTGACAGGCTGGAAGGTGTGTGTGTGTGTGTGTGTGTGTGTGTGTGTGTGTGTGTGTGTTAGGTATAGGCAAGTCTAGTGAGTCCCATTTTGCATACAAGATAAAGATCATATGAAAATTTACATGTTAATAGAACATTTTAGGGGGGAAATTGCCCTTTGTCAATTGATTGTATAAATATTTTATCAAGTGTAATATTAGGGGAAGGCAAGCGTGAAGGTATTCAGCAGCCTTTTTAGCTCCTCTTTTCTTTCTCTCTCTCTCTCTCTTTTTGAGGAAGAAATTAGGACATTATTGTTGAAGAAATAATATAAAATGGGGAGTTACAAGCGCTTGATCTAAACTGTAAAAACCTTTCATGCACTCTGGCAGAGAGGGAGCAGATTAAATCCATAATGAAATGGGTAACTTTAAGTCTGCATAAATTTCCCAAAGCAGTCTCAGTTTCCCGGGAATCTCTCTCGGCTAGATTAATGGCCGGCAGCCCGCCACATAATGAACTAGCTCGCCTTGGCAGTGCGCTCATGAATTTATTATGGTGTCCACCAGTGTGCAATACGGCCTAGACATCTTTATAAATCCTGGATTTAGAAGTGCGGCGATGAGCTATTTCAGTCCTAATGGTAAGGTTGATTTATCGCCCACGGTTTGCTCACCCCACCTCCCTGCTTCCCTTCCCTGACAGTTATAAAAAGGAAAATACAGGTCATATCACTGATGGAAATGCAATGTGAAGGTAATTAGATAATGCCAAATGGATATGGGAAAGGGTGCACTGTTGAAATGTTAAATATGTTGGTAATTTTTTCCCTTGGAGCAATTATATCGGGTTGATTTATTTTTACAGTTTATAATCACTTAACTACCTGTGGCTGATTTTTACCAGATCTTGCGCCTATGGAGAGAGAGAGAGAAGTGGAGCTTTTCACCCAGTAATTGTTTATTGTAAATTCATTTATCTCCAAATACCTAATTTATTATGCAATTTACACACGTCACAGCTCATTGCTGATGAGGAATAATGATTACCCATTTGGTTTTCTTGTAAACTCCTTTTTCTCGGCAGCTTTAGAAAAGAATTGGCTGCCCAAGCTACGAAGGTGTGTGCTTGTATATCTGTGTGTGCATGTACACACACACACACACACACACACACACACACAATATCTTCAGAGGAGTCCAGAAGATAACAATACTTGAGAACCTAATAACTGATTTATCTGACGTTTATTACACTTCTCTGAAAACCAACTTCACGGTATGAAGGGAAAACATTCATACACGTTTTAAACGATCATAATTAATCTCAAAGGCATTTAGATATTGAATGTGTTTTAAGGGATTATGACTGTTATTGGAGTCTAGCCAAAACTGTGCACACTTTTGGCAACACTGAGAAAGTCCTCTGTTTTCGGTTATTTTTGGCACCCCTTGTGACAATGCTAATGTGTTCACTTGCCTTCACTTACCTTTATTCTCTAGGGTTGAGGGATATTTTTTTTAAAAAAAGTAAGACATGGTATCTCAGTAGTACCTGTGTATGATAATGTGCATGGAGTCCTCCCATGTATCTTCACACAGGGGAAAAAGGCCAGTGGCGAAGTAAAGACAGCCCCATGTGGGAAGGGGCGGAAAATAAATTGCATCCAATCCCTAGTTCAAGGACCACCAACCTTTGGAGGCTAATGGACACATTTGCAAACCAGGAAGACTATTGAGGTCACCCCACACACCCCACAACCACATATGAATGTACGCACTGTAACCACACTCATTCACTCTCACCCACCAGGGATTAGGCTTGGAGAAGAGCCTTTATTGGCTACAAAAGAAGGCTCAATGAAGCCTCAATTAAGCTGGGAGAAGGGTGTAGGACAGGACCTCATGGGCACCAAGGAAGGCCTTTGCGGACCCAGGTGGACCCACAGACACCACGTTAGTGACCCATGCCCTCGGTGTTTTTCAGGGGGGAAAAGATGCCCACCCTATCAAAAGGGCTACATTCTATGCAAAAACTGAACACTGGAAGTATTTCACATAGCTGTAATAGTTAATGTTGCAGTACAGTATATGAAAAATCTTCTTTTATTATTGCAGCATTTATATTAAAAAGAGCTCTATAAACTGGTACGTTAAGGCTTGATTTTTAAATTTTATTTCTATTATTCTTTCATTTTATATGGCATTCCAACTACTCATAACATGCACAGAAATTTGGTTTCCACTTTCACAAGGATACCTAGAGATATATCACACATGTCATGCATTTATTACATGGTTTTAGTATTTAAATGTTACTCCATTGTAACAATACAACGGGAAACGCAGCCAGATGGGCAGGGTATGTATGCATGCATGCATGCATGCATGTATGTATGTATAAATAAATAAATAAAACATTGTTTTTGTATACTCCTTGGAAATGTTTAAATATTGAGAAGCTGGAAATGATTTCAAATGAACAAATGAGAAACAGCTTACTCTAATTAATATGGCAAGCCCTAAATTGTGACTTTATCCTACAGCCCCTTTTAAAATTGATTTACTGAATGGGACTGAATAGGTTTTTTTGCAGCTCTCATGATTTAATTTAACTGGGATGGAAAAGGGAATTATAACCTAGCTGAAACAATCTTAAATGTTAAAGAACGTCACCTTAAAATATATGTTGAATTTTATGTATATTATGTATTTTATTTTATTTATCTAATAACATGTATATTTATTCCTTCCTTCTACTGCTTGTAAAAAGAATTCCCAAGCAGTTTCCAAAAAAATAAAACAAACATTTAAATTCTCAGCAAAGAACAGAAAGTGGTAGTTAACTAAGTTATACTCAAAGTGGACCTCTTCAAATTAAGGAACCAAATTAAGGAACCACCCAGAGTTAAACAGCAGGGATTTCCAAAAATTAATTAAAAACTAAAACAGGTTAAAACAGATTAAAACACATATCACAGTCTATATCAGAGGTGCCAGCTTCTCAAAGAGAAGTGGGGGGAATCTGACATCACATGTGCAGCGTCATGACGTCAAAGGAGCCGGGGGCGGAGCCAACGCGATGACAGCGCAGCTTCAACGGCCGTGGCTCCTCCGCCTCCTGCAGCTACCACTGGCTGGGGACTTCTTCCTCGCTCCTTCCCCTCCATGGCAGCAGCAGGAGGAGAAGGCGCCAGTCACTGAAGCCACACTCGACCTTCTTCTCCACTTTTGAACATCGGGAGGGTGACCCCTCTCCCAAAATATTGGGCACACCCAAAAGGGCTTGGCCCCTATATATCTGACCACACTTGCTTGAACAAAGTGTTTTTAGTGGGCACTGAAAACAATACAATCAATGCATCTGCCTGATTTCGCAGCTTAGCTGCTAGCACACTAAAACGTACAGTGGTACCTCGGGTTACAGACACGTCAGGTTACAGACGCTTCAGGTTACAGACGCTTCAGGTTACAGACTCCGCTAACCCAGAAATAGTACCTCGGCTTAAGAACTTTGCTTCAGAATAGAACAGAAATTGCGCAGCGGCCGTGCGGCAGCAGCAGGAGGCCCCATTAGCTAAAGTGGTACCTCAGGTTAAGAACAGTTTCAGGTTAAGAACGGACCTCCAGAACAAATTAAGTTCTTAACCCGAGGTACCACTGTACTGCAAAAGTATTTTGTAATGCCAGGAGTTAAAAGCGCAGCTTCATTCCTCCACTAAGCTGGCAAGGCCCTACCTGTGAGTAGTGGCTATTGAGTGCTGGCCTATTACCCATTCAGGGATCTTTGGAGTGCATAATAACATAAGAAGATGCTGGTGGATCTGGCCAGTGTCTCATCTAATCCGGCATCCTGTTCTTACAGTGGTCAGAGTGATGCCGGTGGGAGGCCAGTAAGCAGCGCCTGAGTATAACTGCACTCTTCCCTCTTGTGAGTCCCAGCAACTGTTATTCAGAGGCATACTGTCTCTGGCAGATGAGGCAGAATATGTTCATAGGGACTGGGGGCCACTGGAAGCCTCATCCTCCATGAAAGTTTGTTTTTAAAGCCATCCAAGTTGGTGGCCATCCCTACATCTTGTGGGAGCAAATTCCAGTGTTTAACTGAGCAATAGCTCAGTCAGTAGAGCACCAGATTCTCAATCTCAGGGTCATGGGTTTGAGCCCCACATAGAGCAAAAGAGTCCTGCATTGAAAGGGGTTGAACTAGATGACACTTGTGCCTCTTCCAACTCTGCAGTTCTATGATTTACACACACCTTCATCTTACTTGATAATGGGCCTCTCGTATTAATGAAACTTCCCTTTATTTTTCTTTTGAAAACTCCATGCTGCATTCTCTTAAAAAAATTAAAAAAAATACAAGTGACCCACCATCAATCATATGCAGCATTATGGGATAGCAAACAATTATGACTCCCTTTGCTTTTCTCTCTTACCCCTATTTTTCATCAATTTTCCCCTCTCCCATATCTTAATTATTTTCGCTGCGTAAAAGGGTAGAGTATACCAGGGCAGAGTTGGGTTAAGATATAATCAGACTGACTGAAAGGAACAACTAAAGGATATTAGGTGTGTGAGCAATTCTGTCGCGCCACAAAATGTAAGGCTGTGCTAGGAAGAGCATTATTCCCTTGGACAGAGAACCCCAGCAAAAACATTCATGACGCTTGATATCTCTCACTTTTGCATTGACCAGCAGGTCTTTGGAACATAACAAGAATGACTTTGTATTAGATATGCTTACTGTTATTTTGTACCATATACAATATTTTACATTGTGTTTTTGGTAGCATTTGAGTGGGTATTTTAATTGTTAGCTGCCCTGGGCTCTCATGTGAAGGGCTAATAATAATAATAATAATAATAATAATAAATACCACCATGCTTGTGGTTCTGGTCTACATTTTTTTTCACTCCCCTTTTGCTCCATTTTAACATGGAAAATGATGTCATACTGGAGCTGGCTCAATCAAGGAAACTTGGAGGGTACTTTTCTTCAAATTACAAAATAACTTTTACACAAGGATTTTATTTTTTAAAAGAATGCTAGTATGCTTTCAGGACCAAGTTATTGTCATTTCCATTCCCAAAGGAGCTTGAAACTTGACTGAAATCATATTTCTAAAGCACAGGTGGCACTGTTTCTGAAAGATGAGATTATTAGAAATGTAGTAATTTGTTGTTTGCGTGTTCGTTTGTTGTTGTTTTCCTGAGCACGGCAGTGGGGATTAGATTCACAACTATGTTGCCTTTAACATGTACAAAACTTTTGAAGCATTGGAAAGAAGTTTGAAAAGCATGTTTTCAGACTAGGTTGGGGAAAATCGAACGAGCAGACCAGCTCTTATCAGCCTACCTTTCTCTATCCTCCCCCCTTTAAAAAGAGAAGAATCACTTTTCGGTGTTTTGTTGTGTAAATGAGCCGCTCACCAATTCTCTGCATCAAACAGTACAAGCGGAGGATGGAATTTCTGTGCATTCCTGGTGAAAACTTGATAATGATGCATATTTGATCAAATATTTGTTTTATAACTTTCCAAAAAAGCCCCAAACAAAACCAGAGAGAAGAAAAACCTTCACACATCACTTTGAGCGGTGATTGCAATTGGCTTGGTTCCATACTGTGTTTTAGGTAAGGCACATGAAAATGAGTTTCCAGCACATAAACTAATCTGGAGTATCTCTGTCCTTGTATCATTTCTTTAGACTTGATCTCCCAGCTGTCCTTCAGGCAGTGCAGGCTAGTCCATTGGGACAAACGGAGCACAACCTTACCCATGCCCAGTCCAGTGGGGTTGCAATGGATGCCAGTTTCCTCCTCCTCAGTGTTGCCATTGAAGAAACAGTAGGGAGGACGATGAAGACAAAAACTGGCATTAGTTGGCTCAGCCTGTCATTGGCTCTCTGGCTCCATCTACTGTAAGGCTCCCTGCCTTCTGCCCTACCAGTCCCAATGTGCACCAGTCGTCACTGCCACCTGGAACCATGAGCCCTGAGATTTGTCCTGTTCTAGTGAGCTGTGGATCAGGAGTGTTCAGTAGGGTGGGCTCTGAGTTTGAGTGGAGCCGTGGCCGTGCCCTCTGATGGGACTTCTGTATTAGCACTGGGGAATCTCTTGGGGGAAAATGTTCCATCGATGAGGGCCCATCACTGAAAAGGCCCTCTTGCCTGTGTCACAATTCCTGCTGGGGAAGGGGGGTTGAGTAGCTGAGGTTCCAGTTCTTCTCTTCCACAGGTTGGTCCATCCTCTCTGATACGTCCTGACACTCATTTCCTACGCCTGCTCCATAACCCCTATAGGACATCTGTTGCCAGTATCTCAGTTTTCCAGTGACAAGGATAATGGCAGGCTGAAAATTACATTTAGCTGAAGTTTTAAGATTTAAAAGATAAGTACTGCTCAGTTGACTAATCAAATAGTCATAAAAGCTCTTCTCTGAGCCATAATTACGTTTATTCAGTCCTGCCCGTGATTTATTTTTTATTTTAATTGTCAGCCCTGCGCCACCATGATGCTAATAGAAATGTTATTGCAGCCAATATGGAGCAAAATGATGTCTGATGATTATTAATGAGAGCAATAAGGAGGAATCTTCATATAAAGTCAGCATTAAAGGAGTAATTCATTTCACCTGATATAATTGGATTGTAGCATTTAAATAGCCTGGGACTTCCTCTTAATTGTGATTAGTTGACGCTTCTTCCTTTTAGTATAGCATTGAACTCTTCCTCTGCTACTTTCCCCCCTCTGTTTCTTTTATGAAGTAATTAAACATGAATTGCCCAGTGTCTCTTAATAAATACTTCTGAGGATTTAGTAGCTATTAAACACAATAGTTGCCTGTTAGAAATATTTATGGTAAGCACCCATCGTTAGCGGTGGAAAGCTACTTTGAGGTTTAGGAATATGCTAGGCAAGAGTGTAATTATACAAATCCATCAGTCATTGTGGGGGAGATTCACCCCCTATAAAGACAATAATGACTTATGCTAAATAAAAGGTATCTCTGCTCCCAATGGGGCTTACTGCAAACTAGAATTTTAAAAGACTAGGTTATTGCTTTACTTGGTGGGAGGGGGGAATCTCTCTCTGTCTCTTTCACACACACTCACATTGACTTAGGTGGACTTTCAGACACAAACAATTCCTATCTGCCTTGCACTAAAGCTTGAGGGTCAGGTAGGGCTGGGGCAGAAATTCAGTTAATTTGTTTTGCACTTAGCAAACAATATACAAACCCCAAAATTTACAGTTTTCTGATTTTTTGCAGTGCAGTTATCCAACCAGGTGACATGTACAAAAATGTATATGCTATAGTGTGCATAAAAATGCATATATAAGTGAAAATAACATAGAAATAAATGCCTCATATGAGGAAGAAGAAGAAGAAGAAGAGTTTGGATTTGATATCCCACCTTTCACTCCCTTTAAGGAGTCTCAAAGCGTATGGTCTGGACAAAATACAAGGACTTATTAGAAGGTAAGACTCCGAGGTGGCTTTCACCAGCAGAGGCCAAGGCCCGGAAAAAACCTAATATGGAGGTTGGTTGGCCGAAATATGGGGAAATTATAGAAAAGTAGGAGAAACTTGGAGGCTGCAGAGTTATGAAAAATTAAAGAATAAGGTGCAAAATTGGCTTCACTATGCTCAAATTCAAGAGGTTTTTAAGTTGGACAAAAGAACAGGCTTCCAGGTGGAAAAATCGAAACTAGAGACAGAATTGTTGGTACCAAAGACCAAGGTACTTTCGAGAATGTATACCTTGCTGCTTAAATGGAACACTCAGGATGAGACAGTCAAATCAGCCATGATAAAATGGGCTCAGGACATTGGGTACAACATTATGTTTGAAGACTGGGAAAGGTTATGGACCACTGGTATGAAATTCACGGCATGTAATGCCTTGAAAGAGAATATTATGAAAATGATATACAGGTGGTACATGACCCCAGTCAAGCTTGCTAAGATATATCATTTGTCTGATAATAAATGTTGGAAATGTAAGGAGGCTGAAGGGACATTCTTTCACCTCTGGTGGACTTGCCCAAAAGTGAAGGCCTTCTGGGAAAGGATCTATAATGAGTTAAAAAGGTGTTTAAGTACACCTTTCCCAAGAAACCAGAGGCCTTCCTACTGGGCATTGTCGGCCAGAAGGTGTTAAGAAGGATAGAACCTTTTTTATGTATGCAACTACAGCAGCAAGAATTCTTATCGCAAAATACTGGAAGACTCAAGATTTACCCACACTGGAAGAGTGGCAGACGCAATTGATGGGCTACATGGAATTGGCGAGATGACTGCCAGGATCCGAGATTTGGGAGAAGAAGCAATGGAGGAGGATTGGAAAAAATTTAAAGATTATTTACAAAGACTTTATAAGTTATATGAATGTTAAGAATTCGCATGATTAGGGAAATTCAGCTCCAGCAATAAGATTAAGGTATGGGAAACTAAGCTATATTAATGAAAGGACTAATGTTTAAAAGAACATTATATAAGTTATCAGTGTAAATTGACAATAAGCACTTTAAACGTAAACCATAAGTATTTGAAAGAACAAAAGAATGCACAAAATAAGGTTATAATTTGCTGAAAAATTTTATTGTAAAGAACGCAAGGTGAGGGAGACGTGGGGAAGTCCGGTTGGTTATGGAAAAATGCTTTGGAAAGATGATTTTTTTCTTTTTTTTTTTCCTTTCTGTTATTTCTTTGTATATCCGACTTTGTATTTCTATGTGGAAAAAATGCAATAAAAATATATATATATATATAAAAAAGGAGTCTCAAAGCGGCTAACATTCTCCTTTCCCTTCCTCCCCCACAACAAACACTCTGTGAGGTGAGTGGGGCTGAGAGACTTCAAGGAAGTGTGACTGGCCCAAGGTCACCCAGCAGCTGCATATGGAGGAGCAGACACGTGAACCCGGTTCCCCAGATTACAAGACTACCGCTCTCAACCACTACACCACACTGAGGGAAACTTGCTGTGAAAAATTGTGTATTTTAGGCAAAATTGCATATAGAAAAAGTGGTATTTTTTTTAGAAATTCACACTAAAATACTGATGAATTTTCAAGAGCAGTTAAAAATAGTTAGATCAAAGACATCTGGAGGGCATCATATTGGCTATCTTTTTTCTAAACAATGAAGAAGAAGAAAGGCTGGACACTTTAAGT